ATTTTGTCTACATGGGCTCTGATTTCGATTTAAAGCAATCATAATAGCAAGAAGGATTTCGGGTGATAGTGGAATCAAAATTTTCTGTCACTGAAATGAACGTTCAAAAAGCACAGAATCATGGAGTTGAGAAAAAAAGTGAAAGGAAGGGGTAAGTAAGATTTCCTCAAGCAGTGGTTCCTGTAATTTTGTTCGGAGGTAGTTTCGAATGTCACTGCCAATAACTCATAGAAAAATCTCTCCTTGACTTCAGGGAATCAGAGTAAAAAGAAAAGAAAAAAGGGAGTTTCTGCATGGGAGGACCTTGCTGGCTACATAGAGGCTATTGGTATGACATATTGGCTATCCACAGTACAATAGCACAATCGAAAAAGTCGAATAAGAAGCCATACCTGGGAAAGAGGAAGAAGGAGAAGAAGTGCGGCGGCTAACATTAGATGAATTCTAACCGGTGGTCTGTTTCAAGTGTGCTTATAAACGGATGCATACAGTTGATGCCGATCCCGGTCGCCTAGTCGGTCGGTCACTCCCCGCTGACCGGGGAACCCGAAACCCGTTCGGAGGCAGTTTCGACAGATATCCGTAAGCATGTTCGTCCTTTATCCGCCGATTTTCTTTCAAGCTATACTCAATAGAATGAACTCGGCTATCCGGTCTGCTGGAACAGGAAACGAGTTCATGATGGCCATTAGTTGGGGTAAAACTAGTAGGAGTACTACTACAGGGTGATCAATAGGCAATAATAACCAGGATATCGAATAATTCATGTTATTAGGTGCCCGACATTAATCACTTTTTTCGATTGCGCCGTGCATTCGACATCCACTTGGGATCAATATCGTAGACTGAGGTATTAACTGGCGGATTGACCACGAAGCTAAAGCGAGCTTACCTGTCTATAGGGCTCATCTGGCCCTGCTGGACTTGTGAATACGCAAAGAATAAACAACTAAACAAGTCAATAACTCACGAGGTCTCATTCCCTATATGACGTACGGATTCAATAATTTTTGCCACTTAGTCCAGTTCCATACAGCTC